TACAAAAAAACAAAAAAAAAACAAAAACAAAAAAAAAAAAAAAAAAAAAAAAAGGGAAAAAGACCCCGGTCAGTGCAACAAAAGGATATATGGTGCTGACCCTTTGCCTTCGGTATCAAACACCTCGGATCAAACTCCACATCACACAACCTAGACTCTTCAATCATCTTCGCCATATTGGCAGTAATCTTGAAACTCTCACACGTATGTCTCCACACTAGAGGGACATCGAAAGAGGGGGCCCTCACATAAAAGAAAAGCGAATTCCATTCACCCAAGGATAACTTCACACTCTTCTAAAATTGATAGGGAACGTGAGGATGAAAACAAAAGAAAGGCCACTTATTGGGACGATGTAACGTAAATAACGCCTTGAACAAACTCACAGTCACAGACAAACCTACTCGAGACACTCTATGGTGAAACGCCTCGAACATCAGAACAGCGGCGGGAGTTAACTGACTATACCCTATCTTGAATTCCTCGCAAATCTTCAACAAGGTCGGATGCGGAGTAATCTGAGATGTACACGTCACGTAATCCAAGAAAACCGTATGAAACCCATCGGGTGGCGAATACAACCGGTCGCCCTTCTGAGGCAACAACAACTCGATATTTCTAGGCGCTCCAACTAGACGACGAATAGACTGCACATGTTCTTCCGTCAGTTTACTATCAAAATTAACTAAGTCCAAATTAATTGACTTAAGTTTCTTTTGCCTCATACTATCAATCTCAACATCACCGGGCGGAATATCATCTTCCTCCTCCTCTTCAACCATCGGCTCAACTTCACTACTTGGCACCGCATGATCACTCGCCAAAGGTGCTTGATTCGAATCATCGCTATCACTTCCAAAATCCACGATTTGGCGTCGAGAATAACGCCTATTAGAAACAAATCCACCTACTTGATCACGAACATTATCATTGGTTTCCACATCATCACTCCACGATTCGATGATTTCTCGCCGTCCTGAACTAGCCCCATTTAAAACACCATGTGCACCAACATTCTCGGCGATTCGCCCACCGATTTCACCGGAATCGGACCCAAAACCGTCCTCTAACGCGCCCTCACGCGCGCGCGTGACCCCAAAATGGGCTGATTCACGCGCGCGCGCGTCATCAACATGCCCAGGCACACGTGTCGACTCCCCATCCTCTAACGCGCCATCACGCGCGCGCGTGACCCCAAAAGGGTCTGAATCACGCGCGCACGCGTCTTCAACACGCCCATGCACACGTGTCGCCTCACCAATTCCCAACGCGCGCGCGTCAGCATCAATCCGCATTTCCGACGCGCGCGCGTCGCTTGGAAAGCGCGCCCTGCTGCTGCGACGTCACTACCACGCGCGCGCGTCCCTCAAACCCAACGCCCGACGCGCGCGCGTGTGGCTCGTCTCCCCTAACCGATGTGCGCATGATAAGTGTTCATTTTGCATGATTTTTACTTATCAATTCTTCGAGTTTTGGTCTTCGTTCGTCCGAGTTTTCGGCTTTATTTGTATATATTATGCGTTTCTTGTTTTATTTATATTTTAGGTAAAGAGAAGCTATTTTTTCCGATTCGAAACGATTTTGGAAGCGAAGCCGAAAATCAAACCAAACACGTGCAAAAGTGCATTATCGCGGGTGTGGCACTATTTCGTATTTCAAGCATAACTTTTTCATACGACCTCCGATTGAGCTGATTCAAGTAGTCTTAGAAAGCTCACTTCAAGATCTACAAATTTTGTGCAATGCAAAATTGTCGAATTCGGGCTAAAAAAGGGTCAAAACAGTGTTTGAAGTTGGCGCAGAAGCCCAGATCGCGATCCAGCCTTCCTGGATCGCGATCTGGGGGGTCTTACAGAGAGCAAATTGGGGTCAGATCCAGATCGCGATCCAGCCTTCCTGGATCGCGATCTGGGGGGTCTCACAGTACATTTTTTGATCAAGAACCAGATCGCGATCCACCATTCCGTATCGCGATCTGGAAAGGCGGTGCGCAGTTTCCAAGGCTGCCAGATCGCGATCCAAGAAGCCCAGATCGCGATCTGGGCACAGAATTCGAGACGAGATATTTTTCTTTGATTTCCTACTATAAATAGAAGGTCTCTTATTCATTTTTTGAGATCTCGACCATATCTCGACCAACTCTCGATTATCTCTCGACTTCTTCTTCGGTTTTCTCTTCAGTTTTCGCCAGTTCTTCGCGGGAAGCTTCGACGAGGGTTTCGACTCGGGTTTTTCATAAGCTTTTCTTTACGTTTAGTTTATGATTTCTCGTGTTCTTCATTTTGATGCTATGTTTGTAATGAACTGAGCATTTGAAATGAAACCTTGTATATATTGATTTTGATTTCCAGATCTGTGATCTATTTGTCGTTCTTTGATTATGTTTATGTTTTCCTTTATTAAATGCTTTCGATTGTTTGGCCAACAGTTGAATTGATTCCAAATGGGGATGAACTCGAGAGAGGATTTCTCGTTTGATTTTAGGAAAACATAGCTCGGGTTGTGGAAACGGAGACGTGATGCACCTCGGGTAGCCCTTAAGGACTTGACCTAAATGCTCTCTTAATATCAGGTTCTGAACGGAGACGCCGGACCTGTGGGTAGACTCTAACTACACTGGAGACGGGGGTTAGGGTATTTTAGTGTCTGGGTTAGCGAATATAGAATTGAAATTAGATTCGGATTTGTAGATCTTTATCGATAGTACATTGGTGAATTTTACCCTAGAAGCCATCACACGTCATAATTCTTCGCTTGTTCTGGCGGACCGTTGTTTTTATTTTTATTTCATTTTGGCTTCATGTCATCTCCCATCTTTTTCTCCCGTCAAGATAAAGTTTAGGATAGTATAATTACGATACTTGGTAGATTTAGGAACTTAATTCCCTGTGGATCGATATCCGGAATTCACTATTCTGCAAAACCCGATACTGTACACTTGCGGTTATTTATACGTAGGTTTTACGCATATCAGCGCACGTGGCCTCCTCCCATTGGACCACGTCCGCTGGTTCTCCTCTCTTCCGCCGCCGTCCCTACTTCCAACTCCACGGCTCGGCTAGGCTTCTCTCTAACCTCGAAGCACGCCCCCTCACACGTTTTTGAGCGGCTAGAAGCACGGCTCGAGCCGGCAACTGCATCCGAGCCACCTACCACACCCACCTGCACAGAATTTCGAGCACTACCTACCGCAGATCCGATTTCCCCACCCGATAGTACTACCTTCTCGCGTTCCATGCCCACAGAACCAAAAGTTTTCTCGCCCCCTTCAATCGGATCTCGAAGATTAATTCGTAAAGATTTTGTTTTACCCGGATTCGACATGACAAATATTTTCTCCGAACAAACAATCAAAAAAAAAAAAAAAAAAAAAAAAAGTTTCTACTCTACCGCTATCGAATAAAAGAAGAAGAGGGGAGAAGACCTAGAGTTAAAATTACATACCCATATTTATTACGCAGAAGTTGAAGTTTAATTATTTCCACCGCAAAACGAGTCTATTTATCTGGCCCTGGTGTATTATTTAAAACCCTTAAATATATACCTCGTTGCCAAATAAATACAATTATCCCTTATGTAAATTAAGGAGATCAATTCAACGCCAACGGAAATTATTCCGTCCACGACACAATTAACTATCGACACGAGCCGGATTCCTCTACACAAGCCTTCCGTCTCGACTCGAGAGTTGGGGGGCTTAATGATATACCTAATTGGGCCGGCCCAATGGGCCCCCAAATTTATCTAATAATTAGGCCCAACACACAAAAGCCCAACCACATACAAGTGGGCCCACTACACGAAAGCCCAAGCACCTTCAAAGTAAGGCTTGGGCCCAACAAAGTAAGCCCAATCCAATCAACGACATATAAATAGATGTTTTACTCATTTGTTAAGGTACGTTCTAATTATTCACAATCAATCTCGAGTTTTATTCTCTATACTATCTCCACGATCCGTACATCTGACTTGAGCGTCAGAGGAGTTTCCGCCGGATCAACCCCCGGCCTAGTTCACGTGCGCTCATTTCGCAGGGACCTCAGGATCATCAAGTTATCAAGCTACTGATCCGCTTTGCTCTCCCAGCTCGTTTTCTGCACTACCCCAGGTGATCTAAATTTTAGCATTATCAACAATAATTTAGGGAGAAAAAAATTACAAACATATATGTCATGAACATATATGTCATTTGCCATTTAATTATTGTAAAGGATGTTTTTGCAATTCGCCCCATTCAGCAAACAAACAAGAACCTCCGTAGCCGGAAGGATACATATGTGGGCAAATGGCAGCTCAACGGCAACTCACTGCAGGCCCATGGGCACAGTCTAAAAACAATTGCATTCTTCTTTAATTTATAATTAATCAATACAAGCTTATTCAATTAACCAAATCAACCTTCAATATTTCTACTATAAATACAATATACGTGTACACACATATTTGATCAAAATATATCCCCATTTCCCATTTACTCATCAAGTGTTGGAGCCCGGCCAGCATGGGTAAGGCAAGCAAATGGATCAGAAATTTGTTGATGGGGAAAAGAGAAGACAAGTGCAACAAGAAAACATGCCTTTCTTCAGCTCCACAAGAGACTCACACGCAAGCCGTGATTTCGGCCGCAGATGCAAATGCAAATACTCCTAAAGAGAGAAGACGATGGAGTTTCAAAAGATCAACCAGCACGAAACCTAACGCACGTACACACAAAAGCAGTAGATCCTTCGATTCAATCCTTGCGTCGAAACAAGCATCCTTTCTCGAATACCAAGCTCATCACGGAAACTACTATGCTATGTCCCTTCTGTTGCATGCACATGCAGCTGCTACCAAAATACAAGCCGTCTATCGTTCCTATTTGGTACATGCCCACGTTATACACACACACACACACACACACACACACACACACACACACACTACAAGTCTAAATTCTTCCAACAATACAATTTCAATTATATTTCACTTTACCTTGTTCATATGGCGTATTTTTGTACATGCAGGCAAAGAGAGCATTGAGGGCTTTGAAAGGATTAGTGAAATTGCAAGCCTTGGCAAGGGGTCACTTGGTGCGAAAGCAGATGAAAACTGTTTTAAGGTCAATGCACATTGTGATGGCGATTCAAGTCAAATCCCGGATTCACAGGATCCAGATGGCAGAGGAACCACCGGTTTTTGTGGGACGGAGAAAATCATACAAGGAATTATCAGCTTCAGATAAAAAAATTACGGAAGAAATAAATGTAAGTCATGGTTATATATAAGACATCTCCGAAAAATTTGAGTCCTTCTCTTTATTATGTGAATCGGTTCATTCATAATCACCTACGAAATATAACACATAGTTTATTATGTAAATGACAGGATAATACAGCTAATGCAAACAGCTATCCAAGAAACGGATGTTTAAGGAGCAAAAGTGGACGCGTACATCACAAGATGTATACGAGTCCATCAACGTTATCCTTCACAGATTCGAGCTCTACAACCCACGATAAACAACTAGATGAGTTTTCATTGAAATCGGAAAGAAGAAATTCCATGAGATACTACTCTGCTTGCCAAGAAAACAAGCATCTATTTGTTCATCCATTGTCACATAATGATTCACCAGATTGTATAATACCTTCCGATTCTCATTTGACGCCGAATTATATGACAAATACAAAATCATCAAAAGCAAAAGCCAGGTCACACAGTGAACCAAGGCAGCGCCCTAAACAGAATAGCGGGCGATTGTCATCTGTGGACGGTAAAAATGACAAAGAAAGTGAGTATCCTAATTGGCTAGTCAAGATTTATCGCTCTAACAAGTCCACTAATAGCAGAGACTCTAATTCCAAACGTAGAAAGTCATTGATCACGGTTGAGGTAAGTGCACAAATCGCATCTATTGTTATTCACTTAGTATCACTTCTTATTTGCACAAATTTCACACAAACTAAGTTAGCTCTGCTGATTTCGTTCATTTTCATTCAAATGCAGCCTCCCTTGAATTTATATTGACAGAATCAATATCAGATTTGATGACCAAGGCAAGAAAGATTAAATTCATCTATATATATATATATATATATATATATATATATATATAAGATCTGGCTAGAAATTCATAAGCTGTCGAGAAATAGAGAACATAAATGTAAAAACCCCGTACGGTGTAAGGGACCGATAATGTGATTTTGATATTAATGAAAAGTAATAGATCTGCAAAAAAGTTGGACAATTTATTTCCTATCTCGTTCAGCAACTACTAAAATCTCAATTAACAACTTAACTACTAATTCGGAAGTTGGCTTATATGAAATGCCAAACTATACATAACCTACCAGCCTCCTTTTACACCGTTTTCATTGGTAAACTTCTTCTGTTTGGAGGGTATTTCCTTTGAAGCTTTTGGTCAACCAGATTGCAGTTTCCCTCGGAGACACTTTCCCTGGTCCAAATGGTTTTAGTAAAACCCCAAGTTCCTCAATTCTCTCGTTTTGCAACAATCTTGCGCTGAACTCAAGCAAACCTTCCAATGCTTCGGCTCTCTGCCTGTAAGACGACGTGTCGAAGCGGCGACGCCTTTGGTCCGACGATGTTCGGCTCGACGCGCCAGCTGTTGCGTTTTGATCGGAACAGTCACTTCCATTCTTCACGTTAGATTTATCTGGAAACTCAATTGTACATTTGTCTTTCATGATAGAACGGTCACCTTGAGGTGAGCTAGACGAACCTTGTGCGGAGGCCAATGAGCTTCTGCGTATAGGATAGGACTCCTCGTACGATGCTAGTGGAAATTCAACCATCCTGTCGATTCGAGGGGCATTTACGGAAACATTTTGAGACTTTATACTGTCTATGTTCCACATAGGACCTACACTGGGCCTGCGACCGAGTTTCCGGTCTGCATCTTTGGCTGGCAAAGGAAGAGAAGCTCTGCGATTGGTAGTGATGGATTTCTTGACCAAGCTTTTTGTTGTCGGAAGCTGCATAAAGCATATTCTACCAATGAGAATGCTTTTCAAGAGAAATATCAATAGTATATATCTAGTATGCAGCAAAAGAATAAAATTATAAAGATGCTTTTCCAATTACTGAGAGATGATAAACAACAGCTTCAAGAGAAATACCGATGCAATATGGCTAATAAAGATTTTTTTACCTCTGCTACTGATAGTAATTTTTTCACACCTTCCACGAAGGCTGAATAATTTTTGGATATAAAACAAATTTCAGATGTATAATCCAAGGTGATTCAAATTCATCTTATCTCCAACTTACCTTGGTTTAAAATCCATCGAAGCCAAAACCTAACTAAACTAAATTAGATGTGCTATGTGCTACTAAATTCAGTAGTGTAAGGTGTCACTAAATGTCCAAATGATGACATAATTGCACTTTTTCATGCAATGCTTGGGTCACCATTTCGAGTTCTGAGGGCTAACTGCATACGTGCATTAAATTTACTATAAGTGCAGGTAAAATCAAAAGGAAAATGATAATAAAGTGTAGTACGTCCAGATAGTTTTATCTTGATCTTACCAGTTCACGATTCTTTGAAAACTGTGGTTTTCTTGTGGCAGGTGAAGGCTTCGATTGTGTAGCTTTATGGTTCTTTGCGATATTCGAAGGAACATTTTTTGTAATGATAGTCCCTTCATGCATGCTTCCAGCAGAAAATTCTTTCGTTCCTTGATGCAGATTGAAAGGAATGCTCCCAGTAATCCTAGTTGAAGAACCATAACTTTGCTCAGCTTCAGATACACTGGGATTTAAAGTCCTGTCATTTCCACTTGATAATCGTATCTCTCTATACACTGGACTTGGGGCATGAACAGGCTCTGAAAATCTAATTTTCCTAGCGCTCTTCGTTTCTGTTTCCGTCCATTCACATGGAAGACTGTTACGCCTTGGGGAATTTAGCTTCAGATGAACATCGAGCACGTATGGTCGAAGGTGCTGATGCTTCAGAAGTTCTGCAGCCTACAGCAATTGATATATTATATTAGTGCAGTCATATTGAATGTGAACTAATAGAAAATATATGTTGAAACACCATCTTCAAAAATACTGGATATTAGCAAAAGCAACAAATTGCTTTTCTTGATTCTACACTTGTCAAAAACATGTTCTTAACTCAAAAAGGTATAAATAGCTGGACAAGTCCAATTGAGACATTTGAAATTGAAAAAAGCTAACATGATATCTAGAAACAAGAAACAAATAGGTAAAATATGAGATTTATAAAAGGATCTTTCCCTCTCAAATGACGTACAAGTGTCAAGTGTCAACACCTCGTATCCCTCGAGATAACAGATTAGAGTTAGAACAAGGCAGAATGCAAATACTAACCAGCCATTTGGAAATTTGAACTTGCAGGCAAGAAAATAAAAGTAAGATTTCAACCAAAAGAAAAGGCCAGTTAAAGAAATCTCTGTTGTGTAAGTTGTTTGAAATCAAATTAAAGAACAGAGCTTACGCTAGGTCGAAGTTCTGGATTTCTCCTCAGCATGCTTTTGACCAGTCCTCGGCTATAACACAGATAGCAAGATGTTAGGATCAAGCATATAATATTAAATTGACATTTCTTTCAACAGAAACTATAAATTTATGAAACAAGTGTTGCAATGTGAAATCTAATATATTATCAATTATTTTAAGCTAACAATAGACAGAATAGATTTCAATAGAAAATCCAGTATTCAACCTCCACAACAACAAGCAACAGAGAGAGCAAGAAATAAACCAAGGTTCACAGATAAGAAAAACGAAGAATGTGGAGGAACTCACAATGCACCAGAATATTTAGTAGGTAATGGAGCAACTATAGACTTGTTTATTTTGTTGATGAGAGCCTGCATATCCTGTCCAAAGATGCACACAAAACCATTACAATCAGAAAGACTACTACCTCCACCAGAAACCGACGGTCCAACACAGCTAAACATGTAATTTCAGAGACTCCCAGCAATAAAACGTTTCGAAAATAACAATGAAAACTAAGAAACAAGGTTAAGTGGATCCTTACAATTTAATTGCAGCAATACACCAATTAGATAATTCAGCAGCTAATCAACTCATGATTTGGTTATGTTCTAAGACTTTATATTATAATCAACTGATATACAATTAAATTGATTTTAAATCAAAGGAAGTGTGACTCACAACGGCAAACAAATTGGTTAACTAACAAATTTTCTTCCGAAGCATAAGTTACATGGTATATCATGCATTGTCATGCAGAAAGATTGGCTATAACGACCAGTCATCACAATGCTACTATCAAGGAAACTAATGAGCAAATTTTTGGGCCTGAAACCGATTCGTTCAATCATGTTGACAAATAAGTTGGCATAATAATGACTATGGTTAGGTGTACAACAACTTACAAATGCCTTGAATGCAGGTTTAAGGCTTGTCATCTCGTATATGCAGCATCCTGAATGACATTAGATTGTGGACAATAATTGTGTAAAAATATGTACAAACAAAAAATTGATCTATACCTGCGGTAATTAAAACATGATAAACTCATTTTGGGTCTCTATATTTTTTAGATTATTTAATGTAAACATGCAGGAGAACAAAATTCTTCGCTTACCAAGGGACCATATATCGGATTTTGAGCCGTATGGTATATCTGCAAGTAGCTCAGGGCACATGTAACTGGGAGTACCAACAATCTGAGAAAAAGGAACAACACAAGGCATCGATATGACAATGAGACAAATTTGAAATAGAAAAACGAAAATTATGTTGAGTGTATAACGCGTACTGAGGAAGTAAGCTCATCTGACGTCAACATTTTGGCAAGCCCAAAATCACCTGCAACAACCATGCACTTGAGCAAAAGTTCAAAATCGCCAATATGAAAGATTGAGAAAAAAAGACGATCTCTTACCAAGACGAATATCTTGATCTTTTGTTAAAAATATATTAGAGCACTGCAAAATTTTGTTATATTAGATCCTGAAGACTCTACAACAAATGAAAAAATATCTACTAACGGGACAGTGTGATATAACTGACCTTGACATCACGATGAAGGATATGATTCGTGTGTAAGTAGTCCAGTGCTGTTAGTAGTTGAACAAGCCATCTACAAAGCTTCTGCATGAATTTGGTGCTACATATTAAAAGCTATAACTTTCACATAAATGATTTTAAAAGAAAAAAGAAAAAAGAAAACTATGAAAAAGAAAGTTACAAAATGAAGTACCTCTTCGGGAAAATGGACACCATTTGCCTTTTTTATGGCTTCAGCCCTATAAATATAAAAGTGTTAGAAGAGGTTAAAAATCCATTCGCCTTTCCTCTTATACTCTCGGAGGAAATTTTTCCTCTAGATGTGTCGGTTTATCGGTTTATGTGCCTGATTGGCCTCACTAGGAGAGAGGTTGTCAGTGGAAGTGTAGATATCTAGTAACACAGTTTGAATGAAGAACCACTTACATGTCTCCAGCTTCACAGTAACCTATGATAATGCAAACATAGCAACCCTGAGAAATTAAACAGAAGTTTACTGTTAAAATCTGAGTTCAGAGACGCAGAGAGATAAAAGGAAAATGCTTATTAGAGGTGATATTTATAACAGTCCAAGAAGCGATATCGCAGTTGATTCCTTTTCTTTTTTTCTGGTGAGTAGCACCGGTGGTTTTGTAAGGAGTAAATAGCAAGTCAACAGAAGAAACAGATGCAATGTGAGAAATCGGAGACAGGTAATTACAAGGGATTCATAGAGGCTTAGAAGTTTGTTTTCTATCACCAATTTCATATTCTAAGACTACTTCATGTTGTTGGGAGTTATATCCGTCCAAGTTAGCTTCACACCACATCGTAGTCTGACTAGCAACAGAAATTCTGTTTATCCTATCCATCTCTTGTTCCACAGTCAACCACCGCCATAAATCCCCGAACGTCTCGGATTGTTCTATAGGAGTTGATAAAATAAAATGATACTTTAAATTGGAAAATGTTTTGAACAGAAAGACCGATAACAACAGAACTTAGGATGTTTTATCAATGGTGGCCTTAACGTAGGTCATCCTTATTATACATTCTGCTCTCTGTAGCTACAAATATCAGAGTGAATTTTACATCAGAGTCAATGTAGCTACAAATCTCAGTAAATGGGTGACACTTCTTTACCTTTTCAACCCATGAATCTTTATACTCCACTATGAATGGGTTTTGCATCTTTGATATAAGATCCATCTACACAGTAAAATAAACCACCATTAGCTCATCTTAAATTGGGAATATCGAGAGATCCGTTGCATACAAGAGAGAGAGAGAGAGAGAGAGAGAGAGAGAGAGAGAGAGAGAGAGAGAGAGAGATCAAAACGAGTAGCAGACAAACAATACGGACAGTTTCAAATGCAGTCTAGAAAAAAACACAGATGATTGATTGCATGTTTCCGTTTCCATGATCATGGAAAGAAAGAGAGAGAGACATCAAAACGAGTAGTAGACAAACAATACGGACAGTTTCAAATGCAGTCTAGAAAAAAACACAGATGATTGATTGCATGTTTCCGTTTCCATGATCATGGAGAGAAAGAGAGACAGAAAGATAGAGATACAGTAATAATTTTCCAATAAACTTATAACATTCAAACATTATGGCTGCTGCAAAAGCAGTCAACAGCAGCTGACCTCCTGATGTGCAGATCGACGTGTCCTATTGGTTTGGCGGGCAAGACGGATCTTTTTTAACACATACCTAAACATTAAACCACAAAAATATAATGAGCTGAAAACCAACCAAATTAATCAATCCACCGAAAATTAGCTCGCTCTCATAAATGAAAATAAATAAAGATGGGATAACGAAGAGAGATTTGTTTGCTTCTCACTTCTTCTTTTCTAGTTTATGCCTCACAAGAACAGCAGAACCGAAAGCCCCCTTTCCGATCTGTTCAAGTATTTCATACTTATCCATTGGAATACTAAACAACTTTCCACCAGATCAAACACAGTCTTTAGTCCTGCAACAATAGGCATAAAACAGAAAAAGGAACACATGTTTCAATTCTTTGTATTAAACGGTAAAACATAATATCGAAGAAAAATATAATGAGAAACACTTCCAACTACTTCCATACAGAGAAGATATAAGGCAATGGCACCAAACGAAGATTACTGCATACACAAACTGCAGTATAAATGTGATGAAGCACAATCATCACATTAAATTATTTTTGAAATTCAAGAGATATGAAGCATTAATTACGAAGCTGAAAATAATTTTTGAGATTTTGAATATTCAACCAGGATTAGGTAAATTAGCGGTTACAAAGCATACATTTAAAACATTGATTTTCTAGATTCGGAATCAAAACCACAACAAACATTCAGGCTCAGAGAACAACAAAAATTGCACCATTATGTAAGCAATTCTATCAGCAAATTAAACAATAAGCAATATCTAAATTTAAATAAGCTAAAAATTAAGCTGAAACTGAACATAAAATATGAGAAGCAACAAAGGACAGAAATTGGTTGTCAGTTCACGGTCAATTCCAACAGATTCGTTCATAGATCACATAAAAAAAGCTGTAAAAAAAAAAAAGCAAAAGCGGAAAAGGAAAAGGAAAAACCGAGGAAGGAAATTAAAAAAAAAAAAGCAAAAGGAAAAAAGTTAAAAAAATCACCTGAAACGCGGAGTTCTTCGGATCACGAGCTGATGGTGCTAGTGAGAAGAGAAAGGAAGAGCAATGTGGTTGAGCAGTTGCAGGATAAAAGGCAAAACGACGGCGTTGCAATGGCTGTGTTAGTAGTAGATGCGTAGGAAGAAGATGGTGCCCTTGTGAATCCTGCATTACAGATTTAGGAGTCCACCACCAGTGTTACTACTTTCTTCTGCTCCCAACAACACACACACACACACACACATTGTAGAGAGAGAATCAGAGTTTTTAGAGAGAGAGAGTGAGAGTGATTGCATATTATTATATTATTATATTATCGAAAAGCGACAATTTTCACTGCCATACAGAAGCGGACAAAATGGGGAGGGAGATTAGATTCGTTAACAAAGTGTTTAAAACAGTAATTTAATCATATTCAGTTATTCAGTCAACAGGCGACTTGTCCCCCAAAAGTTGAGTCTAAAAATATCGAACAGTTATTATTATCATGGTAAATTCGAAAATTTGTTGTATTAGAATTTATTACTTGTCCAAGAGGGTTAAATATTCTTGGAAATACTACTTAATTTGTGATTTTCAAGTAGGAAAAAAAAGTCTTGCTCAAATATGAAATCAAAGTTGATACTTGATAGTATTACCTTAAATTTGAACTTAGTGACATATATTGACTAATTGTTTGTAAAAATGTGTTGCATGTTGTGTAGTACGGACGTGAAAATGAAGATCGGGAAACAGAGAAACGGGAATACGGAGAAACGGTATGTCCCAAAAATGGTGATACCGAAACTTGGGGAAATGTATAGATATTAAAAGTACAAGGATATATGTATTAAAAAGTTTTTATTTATAAGTAATTTTATATATTTCGATACAAATATATTCAAAATAAATACTATTATCAACTATCAATTTGCATTTGATCATTAAATTATGTATTTAATAAGGGAAACAACAAAAATATCTAAAAATTTATTTTTCAAACATGTTTCAAAGTATTCAAATTTTACAAAATGGCCTATAAGGTATCCGGCAAGTGTCCTCGAGTGTCTGACGCGAAGCGTGTCTGAAATGCGAATACATTAAGAAATTGAAGTTTTCGTGCTACATAGGTTGATTTTATGAGAGTCAAAAAGTTGGGAAAAAAAGGGAAAAAAAAATTCCCCGGAGATCAATGTTGACCGGTTGAAAAAAAAAAAAAATAAAAAATAAAAAATAAAAAATAAAAAATAAAAAAAATAATAATAATAATAATAATAATAATAATAATAATAATAATAATAATAATAATAATAATAATAATAATAATAATAATAATAATAATAATAATAATAATAATAATAATAATAATAATAATAATAATAATAATAATAATAATAATAATAATAATAATAATAATAATAATAATAATAATAATAATAATAATAATAATAATAATAATAATAATAATAATATAAGTCAACGTTGGAGACATGTCGGAAAAAAAAATTGAGAAAAAAAACAATTTCAAAAAAAACAGTTAACGCCAGAGATTAGTGGCGATCGAGCGGAAAAACGTTTTAGAAAAAAAAAAAAGTCAATGCCAGAGACCACGGCTGACTGGCGCTAACGGTCAAAATTGGAGTTAAAATTAGGTTACGGATCAAAATTGATTAATTAGTGAAATTATGACTAAATTAAAATTTAAATCATAAAACTAGAATGAATTAGGGATTCAAGAAGTTAAGAGTAATTTTGATATATACGCAGATAATTTTTCTTAGTTGGAAATAAGTATTGATGGGTGGAGTGCACTAAGAACAAAATACAAATATCAAATAAAATTATTGTTATGTTTAAATGTTAATTTAAGAAAGAAACATACATTTTTTTTTTATAACATTAATATAGTGGTTGCGATTTTTAGGAACATTTGATAATTCTATACCGTAGATGCATTCTTGCATTCCTCCAATAGAAGATGTATCAGAATACAATCCATTTTTATAAATTTTTGGATATTATAATATGTAATTACTTATGGACTAAGGAATCAAAGAGCTGACATATCAACTCATTTCCATATTGTGAAACGTGGCATCTCTTTGTAATAGATATCCTTACTTCAAGCATGACAATGCTTGTACCCACTCTTGTATAAATAAATGCAATGTTATCAGAACCGGACCGGCTATAGAATCGGATGACCATTTGGGTCATGGGTTTATAGGGTCGAACCGGTTCAACCGGGTTTTTGATTTTTTTTAATATGCTATTATTTTATTAATTTTAATGTTTTAAAAATATTATTTTCTTTATATTTTTAATCTCGGAGTTATTATTTTCGCTTTTATCTACTTCACCTCACTTTTTACTATATTTTATTGCTTATATTCTATCTTTTTCAATTTTTTGTTCTTCAAATCCGACAATCGGTCACACCTATTCGATCACCCATGATTATATCTGACAATCATTCGACCACTCATGATTAGATCCGACCACCCACTACTAAGTATGTGAAGGTTCGCTCAAATCTAGCCACAAATAACCAACTCAACGGTGATTCGAGACGTTTTGGCCAAAAATCGGGTTCCTTGACTGACTCGGCGGTTCTCGGGTTTTACCCGGTCGAACCAGATTTTGGTCATTTGACCCCGGTTTTTTATTTTTCCGGTTTTAGATGTTAGACCGGACCGCTTTATCGCCGGGTCACGGTCGAACCGGTCCGACCGGCCGATTCGGTCCGGTTCTAACAACATTGAATAAATGTACTATGCAGTGGAAATAAATAATTTTTCTCTCAAGTCATAATAGACTTGCAGAAGCTTTCTTATGCTTATAAATAATATGCGTGTATATATATATATATATATATATATATATATATATATATATATATATATATATATATATATATATATATATATATATATATATATATATATATATATTTGATAATTGAATAGCTAATGGGTTATTATATAACATTGGAGGATTTTTTTTTTAGAATTTGAGTAATTAAATGGTAGTTAATCGCCCTGATAGTTTGATGGGGCAATTTTCTCTAGACCCTCCATTCTAAGATTATATATGTCCTAATTCAATTTATAAGTCTTATTTTGTTATAACCCCTACTATTATTTTTAGATGATTTGTCATTTGCATCAAAATAGGAAAATTCCCTTTCTAAATATAATTATCCACCAAATCAGGTTTTAGCTAAAATTGAGGTGAAAAATCTCAAATCGTGAGATTGAAGTTGCAAACCCTCTCCCTCGTTTCTTTCAACGCAAACGTTGTTACCCTATCCCTTAATTCTCAGATCGATGAAAAGTTTGTAATTCTGCAAATCACCATAAATGGGAAAAATTTAATCTCGTAAAATTGTAACATGCAAAACCTCTCCCCTATTTCGTTCAACCCAAACTTTGTAACCATAGCCCCTTATTGTTGAGATCGATGGAGATTATGTAGGTCTGCAAACCGCCACAAAAGAAAACACATCCGAGAAGATGGTGCAAAATCGAAAACGTACAGGTAATTTGATATATATAGCATTTTTTTTATATTTTTTTTTAAATTGAGATTCATTGACGGAATGCATTGGGTTTTTTTATGAATGAAGTGAAAGACAGAGATTTGGATTCTACGACCCCAGGTAATAATTTTGTTTTCTGCAAAGGTCTTTTTTTGTTGGTTTTTTATTTTGCATTTTTATGTGTATTTTGTACTTTGCTGTTTATTGTGTATTTTGCACTTGCTGTTGTATTGTATATTGTATATTTCATTACACTTTTGTGATATATCAATTTTGTAAACCTGCTATTGTATTGTTAGTTATGTTGTGATTTTGAAAATGTATATTGATGTTTGAAATTAGAATTTGCACTTGCTATTACAATTTACACTTGTTGTTTCCACATACACCTTTCATGTTATTATGTTCAATTATGTACATAGTTTTTATTGGGTGATGTGGTGTGCAAATTTTTTTATTAATTCAACAGTTGATTCGATAAAGGGGGAGAGAAAAGTAAATGAATCAGCGGAGTCTTCAAAATGAGGAAAGCAACAATTGAATCAAGCCGAATATGTTCGCACAGGAGAACAAAACAATGTGGAAGAACCAACATATGGAGATAATAAATCACTTCTTCTATATAGATCAAATCTAGTTACAGCGGTTCGCTTCTTCCGGCAATATAGGTTTACACAAAAACATGTTCAGAATTCGACAGAAATTGAGTATGTTATGACATCACCCTAGCCAGAGTCATTTATGGTAGATTGTAGTTTGTTCGTCGACAATCTTGCAACACTGCTTGTATTTATTTATTTGTATCTTACAATACTTTGTGTTTAATGTACTGATTTATTCATAAACAAAAATTAGTTTGTTGGTTTGTTATATATTTTTTATTTCATATTTTATCTTGTAAACCTATTTTATATTGTTCGAGGAAAAATAAACTTGGAGTACTGATGTTTGAGCAAATTATCATTAGTTCCATATTTTGTTGTTGTGGAAAGACATTTAATTTGTAAAAAAATATTTTCGACATATGCTAGGTGGTTCCATATTCAATTTATTTTTGTTATTTATAAATTGCAGTTTATATGTTGCTAAATTGTATTTTGCATTTTGCTATTGCAACTAGCATTTTGTTGATACACCTTAGGGAGAGAGAGCCATGAGGCTAACAGAGGAAAAAAAAAAGGAAAAGAGACAGAAACGTGGGGATATGAGAGAGACTGGGAAGTTAGAGAAGAGAGAGGCCTGAGAGACAGGGGAATTGGAAAAGAGATATACTGAAATGTGGGGGTGTGTTAAGTGTATATTTTTACACTTTATCGTATCTTTTTATTTGAGCTTTTGGTGTGTTTTAATGATAATTGGTGCTTAAAAAGTTGATTTATTGTATTTTAGGTGCAAATTGAAGAATTGGCAACTTATGGGGTGAAAACTGCAAATTCGGAGAAAAAGTGGGCCAAAAGTGAAAAAATCAGATTTCTGAAGAATTGAAGACCGCACGGCCGTGCGGATTTTTAAGCCTATTCTCACACGGCCGTCCGAGATCCCGAAGTGGCGCAGTAAAGGGATTTTAATTGCACAAGGAAACTGCCTTCTTCCCCAAGTTCTTCACCCTATATAAGACCAAGCCAAGCACACAATTGGGGATCCCTTTTTTTACGCAATTTCAAGAGCAACAAAGCAATAACGAAGACGAAGAATTCGAAGACTCTAAGCATAGATTTATCGTTTATGACTTATTTTATTTGCGTTTTTCCTTTAATCATGAGTAGCTAAATTACTTATTTCTAGGATTTTATTTGGAACCCTATGTGGGATTTATGAACCCAATTCT